AACACTCTCAGTGAACGAGAATGTCTCAGCCAAATATGCACTAAACTCACACAACCAATCCACAAACAAACCACCCAAAAACCACGAATCACTCACCCACCACATACAATCAACAACACAAAAACAAGACAACAAATACCAATCACTCACTCCAATAACCTCAAATCTCAACCTCCTGCAACACACACACACACACACACACACACACCCTCCAACTAAACCAACTACAAACATCACCTGTGGCTGAGACTTAAACCCAAAACGTATACCACGATCGGGAGCTATATCCCAGCACTCAATCAATCTCGCATACTTCGACAAACAACACTCTCAGTGAACGAGAATGTATCAGCCAAATATGCACTAAACTCACACAACCAATCCACAAACAAACCACCCAAAAACCACGAATCACTCACCCACCACATACAATCAACAACACAAAAACAAGACAACAAATACCAATCACTCACTCCAATAACCTCAAATCTCAACCTCCTGCAACACACACACACACACCCTCCAACTAAACCAACTACAAACATCACCTGTGGCTGAGACTTAAACCCAAAACGTATACCACGATCGGGAGCTATATCCCAGCACTCAATCAATCTCGCATACTTCGACAAACAACACTCTCAGTGAACGAGAATGTCTCAGCCAAATATGCACTAAACTCACACAACCAATCCACAAACAAACCACCCAAAAACCACGAATCACTCACCCACCACATACAATCAACAACACAAAAACAAGACAACAAATACCAATCACTCACTCCAATAACCTCAAATCTCAACCTCCTGCAACACACACACACACACACACACACCCTCCAACTAAACCAACTACAAACATCACCTGTGGCTGAGACTTAAACCCAAAACGTATACCACGATCGGGAGCTATATCCCAGCACTCAATCAATCTCGCATACTTCGACAAACAACACTCTCAGTGAACGAGAATGTATCAGCCAAATATGCACTAAACTCACACAACCAATCCACAAACAAACCACCCAAAAACCACGAATCACTCACCCACCACATACAATCAACAACACAAAAACAAGACAACAAATACCAATCACTCACTCCAATAACCTCAAATCTCAACCTCCTGCAACACACACACACCCTCCAACTAAACCAACTACAAACATCACCTGTGGCTGAGACTTAAACCCAAAACGTATACCACGATCGGGAGCTATATCCCAGCACTCAATCAATCTCGCATACTTCGACAAACAACACTCTCAGTGAACGAGAATGTCTCAGCCAAATATGCACTAAACTCACACAACCAATCCACAAACAAACCACCCAAAAACCACGAATCACTCACCCACCACATACAATCAACAACACAAAAACAAGACAACAAATACCAATCACTCACTCCAATAACCTCAAATCTCAACCTCCTGCAACACACACACACACACACACACACACCCTCCAACTAAACCAACTACAAACATCACCTGTGGCTGAGACTTAAACCCAAAACGTATACCACGATCGGGAGCTATATCCCAGCACTCAATCAATCTCGCATACTTCGACAAACAACACTCTCAGTGAACGAGAATGTATCAGCCAAATATGCACTAAACTCACACAACCAATCCACAAACAAACCACCCAAAAACCACGAATCACTCACCCACCACATACAATCAACAACACAAAAACAAGACAACAAATACCAATCACTCACTCCAATAACCTCAAATCTCAACCTCCTGCAACACACACACACACACACACACACCCTCCAACTAAACCAACTACAAACATCACCTGTGGCTGAGACTTAAACCCAAAACGTATACCACGATCGGGAGCTATATCCCAGCACTCAATCAATCTCGCATACTTCGACAAACAACACTCTCAGTGAACGAGAATGTCTCAGCCAAATATGCACTAAACTCACACAACCAATCCACAAACAAACCACCCAAAAACCACGAATCACTCACCCACCACATACAATCAACAACACAAAAACAAGACAACAAATACCAATCACTCACTCCAATAACCTCAAATCTCAACCTCCTGCAACACACACACACACACACCCTCCAACTAAACCAACTACAAACATCACCTGTGGCTGAGACTTAAACCCAAAACGTATACCACGATCGGGAGCTATATCCCAGCACTCAATCAATCTCGCATACTTCGACAAACAACACTCTCAGTGAACGAGAATGTCTCAGCCAAATATGCACTAAACTCACACAACCAATCCACAAACAAACCACCCAAAAACCACGAATCACTCACCCACCACATACAATCAACAACACAAAAACAAGACAACAAATACCAATCACTCACTCCAATAACCTCAAATCTCAACCTCCTGCAACACACACACACACACACACACCCTCCAACTAAACCAACTACAAACATCACCTGTGGCTGAGACTTAAACCCAAAACGTATACCACGATCGGGAGCTATATCCCAGCACTCAATCAATCTCGCATACTTCGACAAACAACACTCTCAGTGAACGAGAATGTCTCAGCCAAATATGCACTAAACTCACACAACCAATCCACAAACAAACCACCCAAAAACCACGAATCACTCACCCACCACATACAATCAACAACACAAAAACAAGACAACAAATACCAATCACTCACTCCAATAACCTCAAATCTCAACCTCCTGCAACACACACACACACACACCCTCCAACTAAACCAACTACAAACATCACCTGTGGCTGAGACTTAAACCCAAAACGTATACCACGATCGGGAGCTATATCCCAGCACTCAATCAATCTCGCATACTTCGACAAACAACACTCTCAGTGAACGAGAATGTCTCAGCCAAATATGCACTAAACTCACACAACCAATCCACAAACAAACCACCCAAAAACCACGAATCACTCACCCACCACATACAATCAACAACACAAAAACAAGACAACAAATACCAATCACTCACTCCAATAACCTCAAATCTCAACCTCCTGCAACACACACACACACACACACACACCCTCCAACTAAACCAACTACAAACATCACCTGTGGCTGAGACTTAAACCCAAAACGTATACCACGATCGGGAGCTATATCCCAGCACTCAATCAATCTCGCATACTTCGACAAACAACACTCTCAGTGAACGAGAATGTCTCAGCCAAATATGCACTAAACTCACACAACCAATCCACAAACAAACCACCCAAAAACCACGAATCACTCACCCACCACATACAATCAACAACACAAAAACAAGACAACAAATACCAATCACTCACTCCAATAACCTCAAATCTCAACCTCCTGCAACACACACACACACACACACACCCTCCAACTAAACCAACTACAAACATCACCTGTGCCTGAGACTTAAACCCAAAACGTATACCACGATCGGGAGCTATATCCCAGCACTCAATCAATCTCGCATACTTCGACAAACAACACTCTCAGTGAACGAGAATGTCTCAGCCAAATATGCACTAAACTCACACAACCAATCCACAAACAAACCACCCAAAAACCACGAATCACTCACCCACCACATACAATCAACAACACAAAAACAAGACAACAAATACCAATCACTCACTCCAATAACCTCAAATCTCAACCTCCTGCAACACACACACACACACACACACCCTCCAACTAAACCAACTACAAACATCACCTGTGGCTGAGACTTAAACCCAAAACGTATACCACGATCGGGAGCTATATCCCAGCACTCAATCAATCTCGCATACTTCGACAAACAACACTCTCAGTGAACGAGAATGTCTCAGCCAAATATGCACTAAACTCACACAACCAATCCACAAACAAACCACCCAAAAACCACGAATCACTCACCCACCACATACAATCAACAACACAAAAACAAGACAACAAATACCAATCACTCACTCCAATAACCTCAAATCTCAACCTCCTGCAACACACACACACACACACACACACCCTCCAACTAAACCAACTACAAACATCACCTGTGGCTGAGACTTAAACCCAAAACGTATACCACGATCGGGAGCTATATCCCAGCACTCAATCAATCTCGCATACTTCGACAAACAACACCCATCTAACGAGTATTTCTGAGTTAATTTTGTAGTGATGTCTCTGAATGTCTGCATCAAATAGCACAGACGACTGTTGGCTGTGCTCTCAGAGGACACTTTGTTTTTAAGTGATGGCTTGTTTTTCGGCTTTACTTGTTGATTTCGATAGTTTTAATCATATGTATATTTTACATTGGGGTTCTTGGAGGAATTTTAGGATATAGGAAATGCTAGTCTTTGTGGAGCTGTAGAGACCAGAGTTGATTGAAGTACCTAGCAACGAATCTCCATTTTTGAGGGGAGTATCAGGATGGTAGTTTCTCCTACTGGTCTGGCCACCTTTGTTTTAAATTCAGGCGGCAGCATGGGTGAGGGCTTTTAAACCAGGAACCGATCAGGATAGCAAGGTAGGGCTTCATTAATGTGAAGTCAGTGTGCTGGTGTACACACAACATAGCAAAAAGAACAAGACCTAATTTTCAGCACGTCATAACAGTGCTTCTTTATGGTTCAGAGACTTGGCACATCTCCAAAGCCCTTCCAACAGGCTGTAGGCTATCATCAACACATGACTTCGTTAGATATCAAGAATTAGATGGCTGAGAGGATAAAGAGCAAGGGACTCTTCCAGGGAGGGTACCAGTCAAGAACCTACTGCACTACAAACATGCAAAAGGAAATGGAAATGTATCAGATAAATGCTGAGGAGACCCTCAAGTGACACCGCTCAGAGGGTGAAATGGAGACCATGTGAGGAAATGAAAGCTTGTACGAACATACGGGGACAGCTGGAAGTGATGGCGGAGAAACAAGTGCAACTGAGACCTGTCAAAGCCCTAACGTTTCACTTGAAAAGCAAAAATAAGTAAGAGTAGTATTATATACAAGATTACACTTACTTGTGGTAAGATTACGTTCATCAAATCACTGTCCGTTAACGCTTTCAGATAACCACTGAAGTTTTCAAGCAATATGATCCGTGTGTGTCTTTCAGTAATCATGAACTTGTGAATAATTAGCGGAGTAATAAATTTCTGAAAATTCTGGAGAGAAATGACCACTTTGGGTTTAGAAGATCCCTGGACATTTTCTGAGTGAAAGTAATGAATTCCGGAAACAAACAAAGTAAGAGACAATAAAGAGTGACAGCATATATATAAACTATCTAAAATCAACTTATTGAAAAGACCACTGAATTTAAACTACTGCGATAGTTAAGTTTCAAATTATTACTGCAGATTTCCTTGATCGAAGTCTCGATAGGGATCATTCACTGATTTAAACTCGAAAATAATACCAGATTGGGGTATTCTGCACTAGCCATTTGTCATTTAACTAAATGACCATGAACACCCTTACGTACTTAAATGAGAGCGTACAGAAAAATCAATTAGTTTGGGAAATGAGTTGGGTTTTTAGTGTAAATTATAACACAATTTAGGTATTCTCCCAGTTTTACCACTAACTCCCGATAGAATTTTGTCGGGCTGACGGAAGGCTTTCCTTCGAAATCCGCTAGTCGTGGCTTTCAGTTGCTGCAGTTGTTTGACCAAACAGTACGCTTAGATCCTAGACCCATTTAGTCATACTGACATTAGGATAGTAGATAAATGGGCGACATTCTCAAACCATGCGAACTATAGGTCATAAATGTTTATTTTCACTAAGAACTCATTTGTGCCACATCAATATTATCAGCAAGTAGTTAGATCTGATAATCAAGCTCATATATCCACCTAAACCAACTCTGGCATTTAGTACACTAGAGCTATAAAGTATCCTAGACGGGAAATGTTAGGTGATATAGGATGGATCAGGTTAGAAAAGAGCCAGTGGTGGTCAAACCAAAAAATGATAGCAGTCAATGAAATCCACAACTGTTAGTTTAAGACAGCCACGTAGGAAGGTGCAGACTTTCTGGTTGGGGTCCTCGGCACGGTAAACACCAATGGCTGGAGAAAATTGGTGACGTGGCTCCAAATTGTTCTCAATGGCGCAGATGCATCCACTCCTTGTGAATTATCCAACAAACTTCTATTGTTATTTGATGTTACTATTCATTTTGCCTCATATTTCTGTTTACTGTCTCTGTCTTGCATTTCTTCTCACTTTCTTCTCTTGCTTTGTGTGCTAGGTGAAGTGTGGCGACTCGAACCGCTGCACATCGGTGCAAAGTTCTACGGTGAAACCAGTCGGTCAGTCATCCCGAAAATCTAAAATATGGTTAGATGTAGATGAATTTTAAAGTTATTATTTCGAATACAATACAGATGATGTTGTTCGTGAAATAATGTCAAAGGTAAAAGTCAAGAAAAAGCACACCTTTAGAAGAATGAAAAATTTCCGCAAGCAGACTGCGACATGGGTAGTCAAGAAAAATTGTACTTTCAAACATCTTTGGTAACAAATTGCGGCAAAATAACTCCTCCGAAATATTGCTGAAGATTTCTTCTGAAAAAGACCTGTTGATTTACAAACAACATGTATGGAATGAAGTTTATATATATATATATACGCAGAGGTAATTTAACTGTCTATCCAATAAAAGTAGGTTCTAATATAGGTATTATAACTTTTCCTTAACAAACTATTTGAGAACATGTGCATTTCAGTAACTGAGTTATAATATGACAAGCTGCTAACCCTGGTATTATGAATGAAGGGAATATACGCTCCCCTACACAAATCAGATCAGTACTCAGAATTGACAATTATAAATTTGACTGCTCTATTCCGTCATAACTCTACCTACAACACTTAACACTCAGCGTTTAGACCAGTCTTAAGCTTATATATGTCATATTAACCTTTACACGTCTACAGGCCCATTATTTCGTCCTTGCATATCAATCTTACATGAGCCGCACTGGCATCAAGCAATAATGAACCAAAACTTAGTCACTTAACACACTATAAAAGTGGATTTGTATTCGGTATATAGTTAACTTTTAACTGTATGTGGACTAAAGTAACAACTCAGTTAGCTAGTTAAAAATATAATGCAAATTAAACTAACCACCGATACATTCATGCACACTTATACCTGAAGAATACTTCTTTTGCTTCGTCACTATGAGTCATATACGTGCCTAAGAAATCCAAAGCCAGAAGATAAGGACTTCTAAATAAAATGACTTCATAAATGTTGCACGAGATTACTTGAAGGATGGGTGGGCTAAGAGTTGGTCGGCCGGTATACGTACTTTTGGTGTACTATGCATACAAGACTTGCTTAAAACTTGTGAGAATCGATAGAAGTAACCTTAAAATAGAAAGTCATTATGTATGGAAGTGGAAAAAACCTTCATCATTTGTTTTGGTAAGTGAACACATCATCCGGCTGAAGCAGTAAACATCATAACAGAATGCGTAATTCGCATCGAAATTCAAGGCCTAATAACCATGAATAATTTTCATCGCACGTACCTTTAAATCACTGTGACCCTTTAAGGCCTCAATTTTTTTTATTTCATCAGCAGACATATTTTCGAATTCCAAAGACAACTCGAAACCACCCAGTTTCCAACACATAAGGGAGTCAGCAAATATGCTGCTAATAACTACATTATTATGCGAAATCTTGAGCTATACAAGGACAAGTTAGTTGAAACCATATTGTACCGTGTTATGTAGGAAGTCAAGCGCACAGAGGATACTACGCGACCCAGCCAGTAATTCGTCTGCCACGGGATTGACAACGATCGCATTGAACGGGACCGAATTTTCTACAACTAAATAGGAAGTGTCCACCGAATTTGACCATGTTTTGTGAACCCGAAGGATAGACGGATGACGCAGCTTTGCGGGAATCTACAGTAATCAGTAGGAAAGGAGAGAAAACTTACAGATACTCTGGATAAAATACTTGACACCCAAGGATCTCTGAAATTTAAATTGCTTTCTGTGCTGTTTTGTCTATCACAGCCATTCTCATTTGTTTTTTGTGTCTTGAGATACCTGATTATTTGAAACTTGTTGTAAGTTGGTTGGACTGTATGGTGAAATGTAACCTCATAGTGGTTGTTTTTGTCAATGACGAATCCACCTCTTAAGAATGCATCGTTGATCACATGCGTCGAGGATTCCGAAAAATTATTGCCCATACGCTTACATTTATTCTACACAGATAACAACCTTGAGATTTCAAACGTCCCTCGTTGCATCCAAGGCAAAGTTTAGACACGCTCAACACAGATTCAGATTTCAGATTTGTTGGTTGAGAGTAGAAGGCTTGGAGCCTATGTTAATAGTTTCTAGCGAATTTCGTGCTTGTCCAAACCCTTCTGAATGAATCAGTTGAGGTTGCAGATACCATTATTGATATAAGTATAAAACTTGGGCACTGTGGTAGAGTATAATTCCATAATGGATAAGAATTTATTTTGATAAATCACACAGTGTAGTACAGTTATATTAACTGATGACGTTTCGAGCACAAACTATTGCTCATAATCATATCAAGTTACTCACACAACTTCTTTCCTTCATTTATATACATGTGTGGAATCGACTAGATATTGGAATAAAATTCAATATGAGATAATGTACATTCAGAAATAATAGTACGAGTGTTATTAATCCATTGCAATTAGATGGGAAATACAACGAGTGTTTTTACAGTCATAATAAGTTGATTGTTAGAATGTTTTGATGTGTTTGAATGGAAATAGAATACAATTTAAGATTATTTATTATCCGCTTCTGATTTGACTGGTGGCAATAATACGAGTGTTATTAATCCATTGCAATTAGATGGGAATTACGACGAGTGTTTTTATAGTCATAATAAGTTGATTGTTAGAATGTTATGATGTGCTTGAATGGAAATAGAATTTTAAGACTATTTATCTTCTTCTGATTTGACTGGCGGTAATAATATCTTCCATATTTCTGGTATTTGCATTGAGTCACTTCTGTTGCATGTGTTGGGTGTAGACTCGATGAATAAGGATTCCGTAATCAACCTCTCTTTCCACCTACCTATATTACTTTTTAGAATTTTAACCCTATCCCACCCTATTGTGTGGTTGTTTGTTATTGCGTGAAGTGCAATAGCTGAGCTTTTTTCTAAATTACTTATCTTTTCAGGGTCAATCATTTTCCCTTTAGCTAAATTCTTATGTTCTGATAATCTGACTATCCCTGACCTACTAGTTTGACCTATGTAGTTGACTTCACAGTCATTGCAAGGTATTTTATAAATTATATTATTTTGTTTAATGGGGTCCAACGGGTCCTTTAACCTACAAAGTTTGTCTCTGAGTGAGTTTGTTGGTTTGAATGCCACCCTAATTCCTGCTTTATTGAGAATCCTACGTATGGCCTCAGATGTCCCCTCCTTATATGGTATAACAGTAGAAGACTTATATTCTCTCTTATTTATGTTATTACTACTAGTTACACAATTATTTTTATTTTGTTTTTGGCGTTTACTGATCTTCTTAATGAATTTTATAGGATAGTTATTCAACACCAACGCTTCTTCTATCTGTTTTATTTCGTCATTTAGGTCCTTTTTTGTGCTACTTAGTGCTATGGCTCGGTTTGTCAGACACTTAACCAAGCCTGCCTTAACAGTTAACGGATGAGATGAATTAAAGTCTAAATATCTATTAGAATGCGTTGGTTTTCTATAAACACTAGTGTGTAGTTCGCCTTCTTCTATTCGTTTTATCTTACAATCTAACATGGTTAATTCTCCTTGTTCATTTTCTGATTCAAATGTGAATTTTATTCCTTCTACTTGTGAGTTTATATGTGTTAAGAAGCTAGAGATATGTTCTGTTTTTAACACTGTGAATGTGTCATCTACATATCTCCACCATATTTTTGGCCTAGGATTAAATGTATTGAGAGCACTATTTTCCCAGCTGTCCATAAAGATGTCTGCTACAATAGGGGATATTGGTGATCCCATTGCTACACCTTCTGTTTGTCTATATATTTTGCCTTGGAACTTGAAGATAGTAGATGTGAGGCATAGCTGAATCCCTAAAATAATTTCTTCAATGGACAGCTTTGTCCTATGATTGAGTTCAGTATCCGCAGTTAGTTCTTTTTTAACTGCTTCTAAGGCCATATTGACTGGTATATTAGTATAAAGACTGGTTATATCAAAACTGACCATTGTTTCGTCATTCGCTAGTTGAATGTCATTTAGTTTACTTTTCATCTCATATGAATTAGTTAATCTAGAGTTTGAATTATTTCTGATAGGGCATAGTATTGAAGCTAAGTGTTTTGATAATTCATAAGTTGGGGTATTTCTAAAATCTACTATTGGCCTTATTGGGTATCCTGGCTTATGTATTTTAATAGTACCATATAATCTACTAGCATTATTAGTTTTAGGCATTAAATTAAACCATTTTGACTCACCCAGTGACGGCTTCATTCTGCGTATTAGTTCTGCTGTAGATTTCTTAACCTTATTCATTATTGTATCTACAGGCTTCTTAATTTCCTCATATGGACCCGTTTGAATATGTTCAATAACTTTTTTGATATAGTCAGATTTATTCAGAACTACGGTGGCGTTTCCTTTATCAGCTTTTGCAATGACAATATTTTTATCCTGTTTTAGACTAATTAAAGCTTCTCTTTCCAATTTTGTTAAGTTTGATTTTGCCTTCTTTTGATTTTTCAGGGTTAATGCACATTGTGCTCGAACCCCTTCTGCTGTTGTCTTATCTATTGAACCTAGCGCTACTTCTATGCTAGGAATGACATCCTCTGGTTTTAATTTGTTAACTGTTACATTGAAATTTAGTCCTTTCTCAAGTACTTTTATCTCACTAGAGCTTAGTTCTTTTGATGAGAGGTTGATCACCCACTTTGTTCTGTCGATAGAGGATGAAGCGTTGACATCAATTTTATTTGCTGTGTTCCTTTCTTCAATTAGTTTGTTGAATTTTTTGATTTGTGTGGCTTTTGATTTCCTTGATGTTGATTCTCTAGCTTTTTCGGATGTTTCAACAACAATTACACAATCTTTGTCATTGACCATACATTTGAGTTTCCGTTTGAGTTTTTCGATTTCATTTCGTATATTATTGAGTTTCACAGTAATTCGATGTAGTTCTTCTCTTAAACATAGTCCACTGAGATGTTCAGCTGCTGACGATATTTTTCTTGAAGTAATTGGAGTGCGTATGTGTAAATATTTTGGAGTTATATGATTTTTCAAACATCGACTGTTGAAAATCCGATGGTTCGTGAATCTTGCTTCTGTTTGAGAAAGTCGTGTGAGTTTATTGATAAGCTTCCTAGTAGGAAGACCATATGTATTATTGATATAAGTATAAAACTTGGGCACTGTGGTAGAGTATAATTCCATAATGGATAAGAATTTATTTTGATAAATCACACAGTGTAGTACAGTTATATTAACTGATGACGTTTCGAGCACAAACTATTGCTCATAATCATATCAAGTTACTCACACAACTTCTTTCCTTCATTTATATACATGTGTGGAATCGACTAGATATTGGAATAAAATTCAATATGAGATAATGTACATTCAGAAATAATAGTACGAGTGTTATTAATCCATTGCAATTAGATGGGAAATACAACGAGTGTTTTTACAGTCATAATAAGTTGATTGTTAGAATGTTATGATGTGCTTGAATGGAAATAGAATTTTAAGACTATTTATCTTCTTCTGATTTGACTGGCGGTAATAATATCTTCCATATTTCTGGTATTTGCATTGAGTCACTTCTGTTGCATGTGTTGGGTGTAGACTCGATGAATAAGGATTCCGTAATCAACCTCTCTTTCCACCTACCTATATTACTTTTTAGAATTTTAACCCTATCCCACCCTATTGTGTGGTTGTTTGTTATTGCGTGAAGTGCAATAGCTGAGCTTTTTTCTAAATTACTTATCTTTTCAGGGTCAATCATTTTCCCTTTAGCTAAATTCTTATGTTCTGATAATCTGACTATCCCTGACCTACTAGTTTGACCTATGTAGTTGACTTCACAGTCATTGCAAGGTATTTTATAAATTATATTATTTTGTTTAATGGGGTCCAACGGGTCCTTTAACCTACAAAGTTTGTCTCTGAGTGAGTTTGTTGGTTTGAATGCCACCCTAATTCCTGCTTTATTGAGAATCCTACGTATGGCCTCAGATGTCCCCTCCTTATATGGTATAACAGTAGAAGACTTATATTCTCTCTTATTTATGTTATTACTACTAGTTACACAGTTATTTTTATTTTGTTTTTGGCGTTTACTGATCTTCTTAATGAATTTTATAGGATAGTTATTCAACACCAACGCTTCTTCTATCTGTTTTATTTCGTCATTTAGGTCCTTTTTTGTGCTACTTAGTGCTATGGCTCGGTTTGTCAGACACTTAACCAAGCCTGCCTTAACAGTTAACGGATGAGATGAATTAAAGTCTAATTATCTATTAGAATGCGTTGGTTTTCTATAAACACTAGTGTGTAGTTCGCCTTCTTCTATTCGTTTTATCTTACAATCTAACATGGTTAATTCTCCTTGTTCATTTTCTGATTCAAATGTGAATTTTATTCCTTCTACTTGTGAGTTTATATGTGTTAAGAAGCTAGAGATATGTTCTGTTTTTAACACTGTGAATGTGTCATCTACATATCTCCACCATATTTTTGGCCTAGGATTAAATGTATTGAGAGCACTATTTTCCCAGCTGTCCATAAAGATGTCTGCTACAATAGGGGATATTGGTGATCCCATTGCTACACCTTCTGTTTGTCTATATATTTTGCCTTGGAACTTGAAGATAGTAGATGTGAGGCATAGCTGAATCCCTAAAATAATTTCTTCAATGGACAGCTTTGTCCTATGATTGAGTTCAGTATCCTCAGTTAGTTCTTTTTTAACTGCTTCTAAGGCCATATTGACTGGTATATTAGTATAAAGACTGGTTATATCAAAACTGACCATTGTTTCGTCATTCGCTAGTTGAATGTCATTTAGTTTACTTTTCATCTCATATGAATTATTATCTATAGTTTGGTTTGTAAGAATTAGTTATGTTTTACGAGTTGATCACGGACTGATATCAGCTAGAGAACCATTGAAAACCAAGGAGTACTGGACAGCTGCTG